CCGACGGGGATCTGGGTACACGTTCGCATATGACAAAGTACTCGTCCGTAAATGTCTGCTTGTACTTTTTGTCAAATATCTGACTGTGCTTGGATACTCTCACAGTGTCCCCTATGTTAAACTTAAAACGTGGCCGTCTGCTTTTTTTCAGAGGACCGTATAGATTATCAAATACTAGATGAGCATTATCGGTCGTGACCTCGGAAGGTTTCATTTTAATAGCGCTGTGAAATGACTGATTGTATGCCTTTATTAGATCGTCCAACACATCCACATATCGTCGAGTGTTTTTAGCCATAAAGTACCTGTACATCCTCTCTTTTAATGTTCGGTTAAATCTTTCTATGACGGAAGCTTTAAGTTCACTACCCGTGGTGAAATGGGTGATTGTATGACTTTTTAAAAGTTTCTGAAAAGTCTGTTTTAAAAACTCCTCACCAGCATCCGTCTGTAACTTGAGGGGTACGCCCCCCTCGGTTAAAATAGAATCAAAGGCCTCCGTTACAGCCAGTTGTTTCTTAACGCACGCGCGTTGGCCTTTTTGGAAAAAACATCAATTACCGTACAGTAAGTAGATATTTTAACCGTTGTACGTTTTTTAGTCGTTGTATGTCACCAGCCCTTGCATGTCGCATAAATCGGCCTGCCACTTGCATAGACAGCCACTCTCTGAGACAGACACTACCCACTCCCCCTCCCCTCCCAGGCACAGACACAGGCACACGCCCAAACTGCTGCTGCTGCTAAGCGTTTATTGGAGGATAGCGTCAGACCCACCTCCTCCTCCTCCTCCTCCTCTCATTCTTAGCTCCAACTTTCTCATTTTCACAGAGTTTCTTTCAGACTCGTGCATCACAGGGATAAGCTCCAACATCGCTCTCAGAATTTCCAAGTCCTGTGCAGAATGTCCAAAGTCCTTATCCGCAACATTTACACGCTCCGGACCGACGGGGACCTTCCCACAGTACCGCACCACAGGCAGACCCAGCGTACGCTCACACTCCATCAGGTAACCAACTCGCTCAGCTCCGCGCTCAGCTCCGCGCTCAGCTCCGCGCTCAGCTCCGTGCTCGGCACCGTCAGCCATCATCCTCATAGCATGGGGCCATAGCTGTGAAGTCTCCCGTTTTGGCCGGGAAACTACCGTATTTCACCCCTCTTTCCCGCCGTCCTCCCGTATTAGTATTTTCCTGTAAATCTCCCGTAAATATAATATAATAATAAAAAAAAATCCTCTGCCTCTCCAACCTGAACTGTCAGTAGCCTTGCGAGAACTTCCACCTGCAGTAGTCTGCAGGTCATTTACAACATTAACCAGGTCATAAATGCGGAGGTTAAAATGGCAATGCTGTGTGCCAAAAACAACGTTACTTTCACCTTCTGTGACGACTTCAACAAGGATACAAAGTCTGCAACAAATCTGTATAATAAGTCATTAGTGAATGCCAGAGAGCCACATGAGTGAACATGAGAAATTAAAAGAAAATTTGTAATGAAAATAAAATGTAAATGACAAGTGGTTATTTTAGATTTCTTGTACACCTGTCTTAAATGTAAGGGATACAGGAGTTTGCTTGGGGTGGTGGGATGGCTCGCAGTGCGTGCCAGAAAATTTCCCTTATTTTCAAATCCAAAACTTGACAGGGGCTATTCGGACAAATCTCACTCATAAGCACACAATTCACTGAAACTTCATTTCACTCTCCAAACTAGTAAAATAAATAAATAAATAAATAATAAACATAAATAAATAATTAAAATAATAATAATAATAATTAAAATAAAATTTAAAAAACACCCCGCAACAAATTTCACACCCCCTCTCGCAACACCACTTGTCGTCACATCACCTGGCTCCACCCCAACCCCGCCCCCCCAGTGACCTCTTGACCTGTAACCTTTTGACCTTTAGGTCATAAATCTTTTTGAAAGAAGCAGTAATGCCTCCTCTCTCTCTACTCTAGTATGGAGTATAATAATATTAAATCAGTATGACAATACTAAAACAAAACATGTGCATCATGTCCTCTTTTCTGAAAAATATAAAGAACTGGAATGTAAAAAGTGTAAATTGGTACCTGCTTAGTGGGAAAGAAATGGTGTGAGTGCAGCGGTTCACTTGTCTGACTTGCCTTGCAGCCACAGAAACACTTGATAATATTAAAGTACCAGTTTAGTATTTGTACCGTCAAACTGGACTGACCTCAGTATCTCCAGTTTACAGTGTGAATCCCCCAGTCCAGCAGAGAGCAGCTTCACTCCTGAATCCTGCAGCTCATTGTTACTCAGGTCCAGCTCTCTCAGGGGTGAGGAGTTTGATCTGAGAGTTAAAGCCAACGTGTCACAGCATGTCTCTGTGAGGTTACAGCTGTTCAGCCTGGAAAAAGAAAATATGTTGAGACACAGACACATATATAACCTACACCAGGGGTCTCCAACTCCGGTCCTGGAGAGCTACTATCCAGTCGGGTTAATAAAACCACACCTGTTCTCAGGTAAATACCAGGGCTAGTGTGGCTCATCAGAAGCCAGGTAGGATAGAAAACCGACTGGATAGTAGCTCTCCAGGACCGGAGTTGGAGACCCCTGACCTACACATTGTTAATAGTACTGACAGTAACATTAAAACAAGCGAGCAGCACAGGCCACTGGTATAAGCGGCTCCTATGGGTACCCTTCTAACGGAAAAGGGTACCATTATGAAGTGCCCTTCAGGTGGAGGATATGTGATGTAGTGCCCTAAAAGGTGCCCATTCAATGGTATAAGCCATCCCTTTGTGTATCCTTTCAATGGAAAAGGGTGCTGGACCAACCTATCCTGGGCCATCAGAGCAGCAAATTGTGCAAATGCTCAGAGAATCCACAGCCACTTCCAAAACTCGTACGACACATGTAGCAGGGAATCTGGGCCGTCACCCACTACAGGACATCTCCACCTGCCTGTGACAGTGAGACCACTCTTCCAGATGCGCTGAATCACATCTATGCACATGGCAGCAAGGAAGATCACCCCTCCCCCCAACGACCAGGTGCTCCGCCTGACCATGGAGAACTATGTTTAGAATCAACCCACAGAAGGCCGCCAGACCAGACAACATTGCTGCCCTTTTATTTCTGCATATGTGATACAATCCCAAGATTTTGGATGTTTTTATAAATTTTGATACTTCATTCATCCCCACGAGGAAATTGTCTTTTCACCTCCCCCATCTTGCTCTCCATGTGACTCACAGACACATACACAGGTGAGAGAAAGTTTGGGGGTAACAGCAAAGGTTTGGCCAGTATTCAGTTCATCTGCAGCGATTGGCATTATGTGACTTGCTCAAGGGGTCCAGTGATGACATCACTCTGCCGGCCAGGAGATCTGAACCAACGGCCTTCCACTCACAGGCACCGAGTCCGAACCCAAACAGTCACGTTCCACACCCAGTATTTCCAGAAATTCTTCTTCCAGTGTCCAGAACTGAAAAAGAATTTCTGAGTGGTTTGTCCAGTATTAAGACAAACTGGAACATTCTGTGAAATTCTAGCCCTTGGTTGTTTTTCACACAAAGGATAGTTACTAACTAAAGGATTACTAACTTCAGCCAATATACATCCATCCATATTCTGAAACCTCCAATCCTGTTCAGAGTCACGGGGATCTGGTGTCGATCCCGGAGGCTATGGGTGCAAGGAAGGAAACAAACCAGGACGAGGCACCAACCCATCACAGGGCACACACACACACACCATTCACACACACACCTACACACACAAACACATACACACACACCAATGGGCAATTTGAACTTCAGCCAATATAGAACCTGAATTGCAAAAGAATCCTGCTTGGTTAATAATCCAGGAGGTGGAAATAAATGAAGTAGTTATACATTTTCAATATACAGTGGTACCTCAGAACTCGAACTTAATCCGTTCAGAACTCCGGATCGAATCCTAAAAAGTTCGAGTTCTGATCGAATTTTCCCCATAAGAAATAATGGAAAACAAAAAAATTACACCTAAATATGTTTTTTTTTAGCATTTAAACACAAAATGAACCGGATAAAACAAGAAGAGCATATACTGTACTAAACAAATCTAATCACATCTATCAAAACAGTCATTTGTAAAGTAAGAAATTAAATGTATCCAAACAATGTGTGAAGTTAAAAAAAAAAAACCAATGTGTCCTGCCCAGATCGTCTGTGTCACGCCCTGCTCCGTCCGCTCCTGATGTGTGCCACGCCCCCTCATTATCCACGTGTGCTTTCCCGATCGTGCCCAGCTGTTCCTTGTTAGTTTGGCTTGTCTGCTGTATTTAGTCCGCGTCTGAGTCTGTTACCCCAGATCCGTCATTGATGTTTATT